ATTCAAACAAACATCACATGAGTCCTACAAACTAAATTTCGCAGTTGTTAGCCCCACCTCGCCACTCACCCACGCATGATGATAAACAAACCATGCTGACGCGTTTTTAAACCTGCATTGAGCCATTGTGGCACTGGGAACTGAATTTTCCATCGTGCCTAGGACAAAGGCCACAGCGACCTCTCAAAAAATGGGACGACTGAATCCAAAATTTCAGCCAGGGCGGGCGTGTTTCACATTGGCGAAATGGTTTGCAGCAACTCGAAATGCAAATTGGCATTTTCATCGCAACACATTTACAAAAAAATCATGTATTTGTAGCACCATTTTGGCACCCCCATGTCTTGAAAGTACTGTAACAAAGTGTGTTTCGAACGAACGCGAAGCAAAAAACAAAGCAAAGGCTCAAACTTTGTTCTGCATCGTAGGCGGCGCCCAGGTTTTGAAGGCAAACATGTTGACAGAACTTCGGGCGCAAAACAGTTGATTGTGACGTACACACCCAAAAAAAACAAACAAAAGTATCCACCTTCTTCCCCTTCAACATTGGCAGCATGTTGACATCAAAACGTGCCGGAAACATGTGAGACACCCTGTGGTGCATACGAAACACGCAGCCAAATCATGGAATGGAACCGGCGGTTTGAAATGAAATTGTTTTCTTTGAAAACATCACTTCGGTCCACTCCTGTCCTGATGTTTAACACACTAACATGGAAGACACAACGTAGATTTTCGAAAGGGCACGAAAAAAAATCACATGAAAATATAAGTTCATTTGAACGAGTTTAATTTAAATGAGCGTGGCGGCACCGTTTTTTTAGTGGAATTCTGAGCTTGTTTTCCCGGTGAAATGTGCGTAAATACCCGGGTAAATAAGCGTCCGTGATGACACAGAAATGACCCTTTACAGTTTCAGCGAGCGGCTACAACTGCATTTTTTTTTATCTAACGGACACACGAATGTATGAACGGGAAAAAAACTAGGAAAACCGAGGCAGGACTCGGCCCCTTTTAGTTCCGCACAGGAAACGCCACATCGATCTCCAGAACCATTCCAGGCGCTGCCTCATTCATTTTTGTTTGCCTGGTCGGCCCCATTGTTTTCAATTTTTCATCCTCGATCATATTGGGTTTCAGAAACGAGGGCCCGCAGAGCATGCCCCAAAACAAACATTCATGGCCTACCAAGCCAGGCACGACAACAAGCCAGAAAAAACAAAATCAAATTTTTCGTTTACAAATGGTGTCAACGTAAATTAATTAGGAGGTACTCCTCCAATAGTGACATTTTGATACTTAAATGGTACCTTCCCAGAGGGGAAAACAAAACAGCCTAGCGTATACTAATGCAAGGTTGAAATTATGTAGGCGTCCACGCATACAAATATACATGTACACCCACACACTAGACAAAAATGGATCATTATAGTGATCCGGCAGGAACTGAATCCTGTAACATGCATACTAGATGTGAAACACATCAATTTACGACGTATCCTACGAATAATGGAAGTTCTCCTGAATGTTCTCCATGCCCTGAATCGACATCACAAAGAATAGAATACAATGAAGACGTTAATAAACCAAAATTGTTGTCGTCGGGGATGAATCGGCGAGGATGTTCCAATCAGTGCATCGGCGATGAAAAAATCGGCGATCATGTACAATAGACCCTAAAAGATTGTTCAGATTGCGGCGACCGTGTAAACATGAAAATAATGATGTTGGGGTACTTGGCTTAGCCCCTTGCCATTCACAAGCGCTGATTGCAAAAAAATGAAAAGGACAGCTTGTTCAACAGTTCAAACAGACTTCAGCAGGTACACATCAGGACGTCTCCCAATGCATCACCAGAGAATGTGGGCGTGTTCGTTGGCAGTGATCCCACAGACTCTGTCATTGCCCCCTGCATGAAATTAAGAGTAGAGATCCATACGAAATCAAGGAAATTTTACATCTTTGCAGATGTGTCACACACACACACCCCTATATATATACATATACATATGTACATACTTTTCACACACACACGCGCACACACACACATATATGGCCGTGTCTTTTTTTCAGGTATGCAGATTTTAGTAAGGGTGGGAAGTTCGAGTTCTGCGAACCATACCCACGCATCATACCCCGAACCATACCCCGAATCATACCTGCGAATCATACCCCTAAAAATCGAAGATTATAAATGATGATTGCTGTGATTGTTTGGGGTCACTTTGGCATCCTGGGTTGCGCTGCAGCCTTTTTCAGATGTCTCTGTTCTTGTGGGAAGAATCCCGCTTGCAAAGCAATGGTGTTGCTACGACATACGTGGTTTCCTTGAAGGCGAAGAAGGATTACGTGTGCCGACGGCAGAACCAGAAGGAAGCTCAGGGTGTCCTTGCAAAGTGTCAGCAGTCGGGCCTTACAACGCTCGCTGAGCTGAAGAAGTTTGTGAAGACACTCAGAAAGGAGGACACCTCTTTGAGTTGCTTGTATGATTTTCGGGTGATTGTGGTGGCTTGCTGCTGCTTGGTGCTGCTTGAGAGGGTGCTCTGCTGCTGGGTGCTGCTGTTGCTGCCCAGCTGCTGTGTGAAAACCTAGTGCTCCCTGGAGGACATCCTTGCAGAGCCAGCTGTGGATGTGGCTGCCTTGTTCTCCGAAGCTTCCAATGTAGCATCGTCTCCAGGTCCTGCTGCGCAGAACCAAGTGAAGGAGCGCGCTTGTTTCCAAAAAGTCTGTAGGTGTAATTTCTGTTCTTTTATGGGGGACACCACCAGTAATGATATTTCTTTAATCAAGGTGGACAATAAACCATGGGGATTTGGCGGCATTCCAACACAGGGCCACCAAAGCACATGTCCGGCAAGTTGGTTGAAAAACTTGCAAGGAGCCGGTGGCCATCCAGGAAGCTGCGGAATGCCATGTGGCTGCGGCTGAGGATGCCGTGCCTTTGGTGGTTCCACCTGCAGTGCCGGCAGCTGTGACAGAACAGAAGGCCGCACTATCAGCAGAAACATATTTTAGAAGGGCTGCTGGAGTATCTCCGTACCTAACGAACAAACTGATTGGTGGAAACGTTGTTAAGATGTTGAAGTTTCACTAACATGTTGTGTTCAAGCTGGGCGTTACTCCCAGCCGCCCTGCAAGATTCAGCAGCTGAGGGTGAGGCTGCAGTTGTTGAAGCCCCAGACAAGAACGACACCGAGATGTCCGAGCAATTGGCTGAGGGTGAGGCTGCAGCTGTTGAAACCCCGGACAAGAAAGACACCAAGATGCCTGCAACGACACCGTCTTTTGAGAAGCAAGTGTGGGGCAGAAGCCCCGTGAAGAGGCGCAAGATCAGTGATGTTGATGCAGAGAAGTTGGCCATCAAGCCCAGGCCTGGCAATCCTTTCCGGTTGTTGCATGAGAAGCAGGACCGTTGCTCCATGTGTGACTTGGAGAAGGAACCCACAGACATGCCACCTCCCAGGGAGAAAGTTTGCAAGAGCGGCCGCAAGATGAAGGTTACCCTCTGGTAATTTAACATAGCTATTGAAAATCCCAATTTTTAATGGGAAAATCCACTATTAATGGCCATTTTCAATAGCTACGTTAAATTACCAGAGGGTACCATGTCGCACCATGGAGCCCGGTGCCACTTCTGCCATACGAAGTTGCAGTTCTTTGCCCGGAAGTATGGTGTGAAAGCGAGATCATCCACAGCTTACACTGAGCTCCAGTTGGGGCACATCAAGGCCGAGAGCGTGGCTTGGCGCAAGGAAGTGCTGGGCCATGAGTAGATCAGAGACAGCTTAGGGGTTCAGCTTCGACATTTTATGTCTGCTTGCTTGGGGCGGCGCAAGAGAAACAAGTCTCTTGGCGCAAAACGGTGCACCAATGGCAATACATGTTGTGTGAGAAACAGCATCAGCCTTCGCATCGTAGTGCGGTGGGCAGATTCCAGTGGAGATGGTTAGATACTTGAAGGATCATCCCGCTTCATAACTGGTTAGTTAGTGGGGACACTACCAAGTTCTAAATAAGAAGATCCTAGTTGGGGGACTTATTAAGCAGGGTCAGTAATCAGCGATTCATTGGGATGATCCTCCAAGCAGAAAGTTTAAGACTAATAGATGGGATAGATATTGTTGGATATCAGTCAATATATCACTGCAAATCAATATACAGGTTAGTAGGCCATAATGTATATATGTATGTATATATGGATATATTTATATTTATTTAAATTTGTAGATAATGATCTTCCCAGGTTGGGTCCAAGGTCGTCTGGCAGGTCGAGCCACTGCAGCAGATAAGTAAAAGATACGTGTACATATGTGTATAGATATAAAGATAGGTAGATAGATAGATAGATAGATACAAAAGGGAAAATAGATCTAGATATCGGTTGCCTCCCAGGTTGGGTCCAAGGTCGTCTGGCAGGTCGAGCCATATCAGCAGGTATCTAGGTTTACAGAGAAATTAGAAGTGGATCAGTGAACAATGCAAGCGAAGGTTTCCAGATCGAGAAAAAAATGGGTTTACGAATCATACCCCGCATCATACCCGAATCATACCCGATTCATACCTCCAACCTGCCAATCCTGATCCTTGGCACATTTGCAACATCAGAAATCAATTTTTTCCGACATTTTTTTCTTTCTTGGCAAGCAATTAGCTGCAATGAACCACACCTGGCCATGCCTCCTTCTACTTCGGAGAAGAACAGGGAGAAGCACTGGTCCAATAAGCTCAAGGTAGCCTTTGCACAGGTTCGGAATAAGCTCGGCTCTGACGGCCTTGTTAGCTGTGTAGCACGGGCACTATCCGAAGAGGAGCGCGCAAATTTTCAATCCCCTGCAACTCTTGAACGTTTTGCATCTTCACTAGTTGAGCGCAGCAAGGGCGTCGATGCTGCTGAAGAGATTGTTGTCCAAGCCGCGCAGGAGCACATTGGAAGCTGGCGCAAATCCAGGAAATTGCTTCCAGTGCCTGGACAGAAGCTTTGGCACCGTGTACGGAAACATATGCCCAAGCATGCGCCTGGTCGCAAAACCAAAGTTCATTCGAAAGACATCCGGATGCAAGTGCGTGTCTACCTGCTTGAGAATGCCACTACATCTGCGAAGCTCATGAAATGTGACGGCTCTATCGAACCTGTGTACAACTTGAACATGTCTAAGCGGAAGCTTTGGCACCGCAGTGTGGCAATGCAGAGCCTCCTGTCGAGGCCAGCTTGGTACAAGCACATGGCTGCCCATCACAAGAACTTTGTTCGTTTGAAAACGCGCACAGATGTATGCTGCTTCTGTCACAAGTATGACAAGGTATTACTTCCTGCATTGCGCAAAGATCTCGATGCTGTCCGTGGAGGTGTGCAATCTGTGCAGAATGATTATTTTGCAGCGATGGACTCTCATTGGGAAGCCATGAAAGCAGCTGGCCGCACGGACCCTGACGATCAGTTGTCTTTGCAATATGTTAAATTCATGAAGCTCTTCATGGACAAGACGTCGTCTGTCCGGTACAGAACGGCAGCTGCCCCAGGAACTGTTCGTGGCCGACAAGATCTGAAAGAGGCAGAGGCGAGTGGAGCCACAACCTTGCGGAAGTATATTGATATTTTGGAATGCTGCGCTCATCACTTTGCCGGTGTTCGGCGACAGCATGAAAGAAGAGAGCAGCGAGAAAACAATTTGCCTCCCAATCTATTGGTTGTACAATTGGACTACATGGAGAACATGACGTGGCCGCTGGGACCAGAGGAGGCCCAGGACTGGTTCTGGGCAACAAGCCGAGAGTCCATGACAACGCTCGGCTTCTACGTGTCTTTCTGGCGCAATGGTTGCCGCCATAGAGAATATTGGCATTACATCAGTCAGGTTATGAACCACGACTCTGCGTTCGCAGTGGCATGTCTGCAGCTCGCCGCAACAGACGGAAGAAAGTTTTACCATACCATTCATTTTGTTGCAGCTAATTTGTTTGCGCTGGCCTCCATCAAATCTTGTTGGTTCCAAACCACCGGTGTATTCTGCTTCCCCCAAGTTCATAAGTAGTTTTTGTGGTTATAGTCGTGTCTGCTGCCCTTCAGGAACGATTTGCTCCAGAATCTTTATTGTCCTGCTGCCACAGAGCTTGAGATATGGGCAGACACTGGAACCCACTTCAGAAGCTACGAATTTTTATGGAACGTGATTGAGTTGACACGCAGCCGGTTTGCGTGTGCAAGCCTCAACTTTTTCGTTGAACATCATGGAAAAAGATATTGTGATGGGGCTTTTGGCCTTCAGAGGCATTGGGTATCGCAGTTTGCACGTACGAAGAACATTGAGTGTCTCGCTGATATGCACGCTGCAATTGAAGCTGGTGCTGCTGGAACTATGTCTCTGGACCCTCCTCCACTTGGTCCAGCCTACTATGTGAAATCTTTCAAGCCAAGTCCAAAGACACACATCTTCAAGTTAGACACTTCCCTTTGTGACATACAAATTGAGCACACATATTGCATTTTCTTTGATCGTGCTTCTGATGGCCACGTCCGTGGATGGAATTTCTGGTACAGTGATCGCGTGGACAAACGCACGCTTGGATCTAGCATTGGCAAGCTGAAGGCGATCAAAGTTCCTTGCAAAGAAGATTGGAGGTTGTCCTACCGGGCGACCCAACCCGAAAAGAACCCTTTGAATGTTGACTTGTTGAAACGCCGAATGGCCAAGCAAAGTGCCTTTATTGACTCTAGCGGCGCAAGCCGTCGAACAAATTTTATGCAAGCTTTGTTGCGCCGAGAGAAGCAGGGGGCAAAGCAGAAAGCTAAGTATCTCCGGCAGAAAAGAGCTCTGGCAATCAATTTAAAAGAAGGCCAAGATTCAAGCGACAGCGAGAGTGAAAGCGACGAGTGAAAAAAATCACGTTTCAGAAACATTGATTAGCTAAATGGAGGTCCGCGAACCATACCCCCGAACCATACCCCGAACCATACCCCGAATCATACCCACGAATCATACCCCCTAGTCAAACTTCCCGGGCCGCACTCCTCATTTTGAGACATACCCATATATATATATAGAGATATCTGAGAACATACATGTATAAAATTAGATATACATATACATGTACATACACATTTACACACACGCACACACACAGAAAACAACATGTACGATTGCGGTGGCCCCTTGCGACGTACAAAGGATTTTGTTTTTTTTTTGGCTCTCCTTTTTCCGCGTGACTTGGGGGTGACACTAGGCGCTGTTTTATACCCAGGGTCTAGCTGTGTTGCGTATAGGGGGGGATTCAAGGTGGCACTCTGCTGCCCCCGTATGCGTAGGAAGAAGGGGAGAAGTGCATGCATGCATACATACATACATACCTACATACATACATACATACATAGATACATACATACATACATACATGTCAGAGATGCGTAGGTCCATGGACCCATAGATCCACACATTCATACATACATCCAATCCATACATTCATACATTCATTCATTCATACATGCATACATGTGCATACAGGCATACATGCATAGATACATGCATACATACATACATACATACATACAGACACACACACACATACATACATACATACATACATACATACATACACACATACACACACACATACATACATGCATGCATGCATACATACATACATACATTCATACATACATACATACATTGATACATTCATACATTCATACATGCATACATGCATACATGCATACATGCATACATGCATACATGCATGCATGCATACATACATACATGAATACATACATACATACATACATACATACATACATACAGACACACACACACATACATACATTTGTACGTACATACATACATACATACTTACATACATACATACATACATACAGAAATGCAAACATCTCGACATACACACACGCAGACACAGACACGCAGACACACAGATACACAGACACACAAACACACACACACATACATAAATGCATGCGTACATGCATGCATACATTCGTTCATTCATTCCCCACTTTCCTTCCTTCATTCATTCATGTTCTCATTCGTACATTCTTGCCCTTTTATATTCTTAAATTCATGCATGCATGCCCTTCGACCGCCCGTATTGAGCGCAGGAACTTGGAAAAATTTGGTGAAAAATGGAAAAATAGTTAAACATATTTATTCCTTCCTTTTTTCCAGACATTCGCACATTGATACACTTATAACTTCATACGTTCATACATTCACACACCCACACATTCATACATTTTTACATTCATACACTCATACATTCATACATTCATACATTCATGCGATCGTGCAGTCATGCATTCATAGATTCCTACATCAATAATTCGGGACATTCATGCATTCGTACATGCATGCATGCAGGCAGGCACGCAAACACACACACACACACACACATGCATGCACGAAACATACATCGATCGAAATTGAAAAATGCATCTGCGCTAATTTTTTTTTTCAACAAAAAGTGCACGCGTGAGTCTTCGCAGTTCAATCATGGTCGCATTTTCTACGCCGGCAAAATGCTTCAGCCAATATTTCACTTAATTTCATTTCATTTCATGCCTGAACGCTGTGCGGCGAGCCCTCTTGGGGGCGCAGGCGAAAGTGACACAACAACCGAAAGTTGAAACATATGCATCTTTATTTTCATCGGTGAAAAAAACAACAGCTTACGAAATCATTTCATGTCAATCCATACATCGCGCTTCGCCAAATCCAACCAATTTCCAAGTAGTTTGTAGGGGCAAAATCTTTGAAGTTTCGATTCCCATACAATGCGCGGCTTTCCCACTGTTGCATTGCTCCTGGGTGTCCAATGTAGTACCCCTTTAACCCATCTGTATGCAGGTAAAGTTGCAATGTACCGTGCAAAACTCCAATGTTGTTGCAAGCAGGATGTTGTCCACGTGGGCATAGTGGATTGTTGAGCAAAATAATTGACTCTTTCATTCAAACACGTAAAATGATGGGCCAAGGATTATCTCAATTTGTTCGCGGAGGTGGGCCAACTATGTTTCTTACAAATTTCCGAAAATGAACATGTAATTTCGACTCCATGTATGGCTCTGGGACCTGCACCAAAACAAGCTACGGGCGTCACAGCTGTGTGAAAGTAGCGAAGCTGCTTGCAAATCGACACATGTTTGTCGCATAAAACGGTTTTGTTTGCATAAAATGTTTTTGTTGCCGCTTGCAAATGGTATCCGATGTCGATGTTGGAACTCTTGGAGCCTTTGTTGGTCAACATGCATCCTAATCGCCTTGTTCTCATAAAAAATTGGGGGCAGGGTTTCTGTCGTCAAAATTTTCCCTTTAGCATGCAAAAGGGTGAGGCACGGCCCTGGTTGCAACTCATGACCCTTGCCATTGGCGGAATTGACGCGCAAAATTGTACTCATCTACGCATGTAAGGAGTCACAGAAGCAGAGTGGCACGGACTAAAATTGAGTTGGCCTGGTTTGGGACGGCTCCGGCTCCAGCTCATTTTGGCAAGTGTCAGCGTCGATCGGCATCGTTTGCCGTTTTCGGCAGGCGGTTGACACTGCACCCTGTGAACGTGTTTGTATATTTCAGGATGCCTTGGGTACCCACGAGTTCAATAAGGGGTCACATGAAGTGCTTTTCGTAACAAGGGCATGTCCTTCACTCATCAGAGAGTGTGTTCATGCTCAATCCGGTTTCAAGTGCGAAAAGGAAAACATCGGGTGGGATGGGGTTAAAAAACGTTCATGAACATTTGCGCACCTACGGAATGCGGAATCACACGTCCACTGGCGCGCCTTCCGAATGCTGCGTTTTGACCTGTTCATGTACACTTTCCGCATCGATGAAATGCTGCTGCGCTCTGGCTCGTTCAGTTACGCTTGCACACCTACGGAATACTATGTGATGACGCGTTGTGCACCTGTGGAGTGCTACGCTTTGACCTATGTACGCTTCCACTGCGGCCGGAAAGCGTGATTGGCTTTGTGGTGCTCCTTTTGCGCCCTCTTGCGCCGTTTAGGCCGTTTGCGCCATGTTGCACCGTATTGCGCCGTGTGGCGCCGTGAATCCCAAAAAATGTTTTGACAAAGTTGGCAAAGAGATACGCGTTCAGAAATCTCTTGGGGAAAATGGCGCAGAGCAATGGTCGCTGAAACGCAACATTTAGACTCCCCGTCGCATCACGTTCAAGTTCGCAACAAAAGGTGACATCGGCAGTGATTGCCGGTAGTATCGGGCAAGTCGGTGGAAGAAGTGCCAAAGGTAGGACACCACACCGGGGGTGAGCTGTTCTGAAGCATGGGTGGCAGAGCGAATCCGCTGATGGACCGAAAAATTGTTTTTTGGAGTGACTGCAATGATTGCAATGGTCACAACTGCTGGATGTAGTGTGGTGTAGTGCAGCTATAGTGGTAGTTGTGCTGTAGCATGCTGTGGTGGAGTGGTAATTATCGTTGTCATTGTCGTTGTCGTGATACTTGTAGTGAAATTGTGGTAGTATGAATGTAGTGTTAGCGCCAGACGCAGTTGCAGTTGTATTTGTGCTGTGGTTTAATTAGTGTAGTGTAGTGTAGTGTAATGTAGTGTAGTGTCGTGTCGTGTCGTGTCGTGTCGTGTCGTGTAGCGTAGCGTAGCGTAGCGCAGCGTAGCGTAGCGTAGTGTAGTGTAGTGTAGTGTAGTGTAGTGTGTCGTGCAGTGTGTCGTGTAGTGTCGTGTAGTATGATGCATTGCAAGGTAATGTACTGTAATGTAATGTGGCGTAATGTAACATAATGTAACGTAGTTGTAAGTTGCAGTGGTAGTCGTGGTGGCACTTTTGGTTGTAGATGTAGAATGATGTGACATATTTAGTGTAGTGTATTTAGTGTAGTGTAACTAGTGTTGTGTAATGTAACGTAGTGGTCGGCGCATGCCCATTTGTAGTTGTAGTGTGCTGCAGTGTAGTTGCCGTAGCGTAGTGTAATGTAGTTTAATGTGGTGTAGTTGTAATCGTTGTTGTAGCTGTGGTAGTAGTGGTAGTTGTAGTTCTACTGTAATTAATGTTCTACTGTAATTAATGTAGTGTAAAGTAGTGTCGTGTACTGTAGCGCAGAGTAGTGTAGAATAGTGTAGTGTAGTGTAGTGTAGTGTCCTATAGTGTAGCGTAGCGTAGCATAGCGTAGCGTAGCGTAGTGTAGTGTAGTGTAGTGTGGTGTACGGTAGCATGGTACATTTGCATTTGCATGTGTATTTGTATTTGCATTTGTATTTGTATTTGTTGTATTTGTATTTGCATTTGTATTGGCAGTTGTAGATGGGATGTCGTGTAGTGCTCGTGGTAGTTGTGGTTCTAGTTGCAATTGTCTACATATTTTTTCAAATTTGAAAACGAAACTATTCTGCGAAACCTCCTGGATTCGTGCGCTTGGGAACATAAGAAAGGCAACAATTTCGCGCGACTTTCTGAGTTCTTGACCTTGGCAACATCAAAGACGAAACTATTCTGTGAGACATCTTCGGTTTTTCACGTTGACAACATCAAAAACGAAACAATTGTGCGAGACTTCTTTCAAAAAAATGGGGTGCAGAGCTGATTGCCTCGTACCAATGTGTTTTGCGATTTTTCCACTCACTCTGTCTAAGGTCGTGCGCTTGCCACGAAAAAGTGAGGCCAGGTACGAAGTGTATGAAGTGTGGCACCTGTCACGCAAAATCATCGTAGCAAACCTGAGGATTTGCTGTTCCACAATGCAACCCCTCTCAGGAAATCAGCGCCCTGACCCTAACATCTCTGATGAACATGCCTCGTGTACCGCACCTGCCACGCGAAATGCGCCTTCGCAGGTCTTCTTTAAATGTCCCATGCCAGCCATCGGTTTTAGACATGCTACAAAACCCTCATGTCTTGCTCA